GTTGCGTTAACATGTAACACTTTCTGTTAGTATTGAAGTTAACTTCAGAACTAAGAATTCAAACCCTTTATGTAGTACTGATTACGACAGAGAAGAAATATTTGTTTAAATTTTCTATAGTTTCTGTTGTTTTTATACAAAAGAATGACTGACATCCACACATCAAAACTCTTAGGTATTCGATGTTTCCTCTGTGCCACACTCTCTTCAAGATATCCTGTGAGTGTGTAAATCTCTTTGTCTTCGTTATGTGCCCTTGTAGCTCTCATTTTCTTGAGAACTTCCTCGTTGCACACATGGCCTGTCCATGGTATTCCCAGCATCCTTCTTTAGAACTATATCTCTCTCACGTTGAGTCCCTTCTTCATCTTTAAGGAAACCGTACAATATTCACTGCCAGACAGAAAAACAAATATAACGTAGCAGTTCAGCGCACCTTTCTTTGCGCCTTAGTTTCATTTTCCGGTGTCTTAATACTTTGCTTAGTTTTATAGAAAGCATAACGAATTAAGTGATACAATATATCCTCTGGCACGGGCAGAAGACTAAAAGCAATCTACACACGTTCGTTAAAGAAATGATTCCGTTCGAAAGTCTCCGAAGCAGGCTGAAGTTTCAACGACCGAAACATGATTATCATAACAATATGGAGTTATTAAGTGTAAGTTAGATGCGGCACAAGGCCAAAGGCAGAGGCACTCAGTAAGGAACGAACTCACTATTTAATCATAATTGACCTAGCGAGACAAGCTTGTTAACCATTACATCACGTCGAAGTCCCCATGATAACAACTATTAAGAAGATAATAGATTAATATACAGGAAACCCTCGATTAGTGCGGATAATGTTGTCTTCAAACAAAGGAGTGACTGATTTGTTCAAGATAATGCCAGAATTGTTCATAAAAATATTGTTAGAAACAAAGTAAAAAGTATTGAACTACTACGTGATATCTGTCCTCCTGTATGGCAGCGAATACTGGACAATCTCCTCAAAGATGAAGAAAGAGACTTGAAGCAACAGAAATCTAGTTCTACAGAAAGATGCTGAGGATACAATCGACCGTACAGGTTTTAGAGAAAAGTCGAAACAAAAAAGAAACTTACATTTAACACTAGGAAGAGGCAGTTGAAATTTCTGTGGCACGTGATGAGGAAAGAGGGCTTGGAAAATTTGATACTCACAGGACAGATTCAGGGAAAGATGGACAGAGGAAAGCTTGATGAGCTGAGCAAATGGGTAGCAAAACTGGGTTTGGGAGAAATAACAAGAAGACAAAACTTATTAAGAGCTACAAGTGACAAGAAGATGTGAAGGGCCATGATCGCCTACATTCTGAAGGGACACGGCAGATAAAAGAAGACTCAGAGGACAAATTGAGGGAAAGAGGGACATAAGAGAGCAGTGTGTAATGTGCTTGATGGGCTTGAGCAAATGGATGACAGAACAGGGTTTGGGAGAAATAACAGAAAGACAAACCTTATTAAAAGCTACAAGGACAGGAAGCTGTGAAGGGCCATGATCGCCACATCCTGAAGGGACACAGCAGATAAAAAAGAAGACTCAGAGGACAAATTGAGGGAAAGAGGGACAAAAGCAGTGTGTAATGTACTTGATGGGCTTGAGCAAATGGATGACAGAACAGGGTTTGGGAGAAATAACAGGAAGAAAAAAAACTTATTAAGGGCTATAAGGGATAGGAAAATGTGGAGGAGCATGATCACCTACGTCCTGAAGGGACACGGCGCATAAAAGAATAAGATATTAATTTTTGTTTGGGTCATGTCACTTCGCAAGAACCACAAGAAAGCAATTTCTCGCAGAAAATGTAGAAAGACATGACTGAAATGTTAGGATACACGACAGTTCTAAATGATCAATCGGGTGCATGAACAAATGGTGGTTGAGTTGAAGATTCAAAACGGAGCTGTCTTGGAGAAAGAAAAACACACTTAACAAGCAGACATATGCTTATAATAATGTGGGAATGTGGTTCGAATGGCATTTCAGCTATATATATATATATATATATATATATATGTATACACACACACACATTAAATATATATATATATATATATATATATTTATATATATATATATATATATATATATATATATGTAAAGTTGATGTTCACCATGTACAAGGCCTGAAAGCCACTCCAGGTAGAGAGTTACACAATGAGAGACGCGCTTTATGCGGATAAGTGGCGAAGATACGACGAGTCATGAACAGGTTAAGATGGGATCAGGGAAGCATCATCTTGGAAGCCGATTTTCGCAGAGCAGCGGCCAGCGGGAACAAGCTGCTCGAATCGTACTTACAGTGAAATACGGAGGGAGGAGGACGATCAGCTACAATTCGCGTAGCATAGCGATTCTTGGCCGTGAAGATTAGAACTGGTTGAACTACGGAATGTAGTTTGTGAGAACACTTTCCATGGAAGGCGTGATAGAGGAGTGAGATGTTTTCGACGCAAATGAGAGGGACAAGTTTGTTGGCATTTTTTTTTGTGTCGATGAAAAGATGATATAGAGATGCTTACTGGTAAGACAATGAGAGGGAATAGCAGTCATAGTAGGAAGGTAATGTGAAAAAGGTTCAGATGAGGGAGATGAGATTAAGATTAAGATAAGACGTGCCAGAGAATTCTTGTTACGGAAGTCATGGAAGCTACAGTTTTGGGGCAGATGAAAGATGTCATAGAGCTGATTGCTGGCAAGACATGAGAGGGAGTAGCAGTCATGGTAGTCATTGAAGGTAATGTAAAAACGATTTTGTTCAGATGAGATTAAGAGGTTTAATTGTTAGACGTGACAGAGAACTGGGAAATGTTTTATTTCAGATGGAGGATGACATAGAAATGCTTGTTGGTATAGACATGAGAGGGAGTAGCAGTCATGGTAGTCATAGAAGGTAATGTAAAAAATATTTTTGTTGAGACGATGGAGATGAGATTAAGAGGTTTAATTGTAAGATGTGACAGAGAACTGGAAAAGTTTTTTGTGAAGATGAAAGAGGACATAGAAATGCTTGCTGGTAAGACATGAGAGTAGCGGTCACGGTAGTCATGGACGGAATTGAGAAAGCTCTTTGTCCCGAAGTGAACAAACAATGGGTGCTGCTGTTGCTGATGCACAACAATTTTTCAGCTCGAATTGATTATTTTTTAATTCAGTGTTTTATAATGTGGATATGTTTTTAACAGTTGCGCCAGCAGCGACGACTGGATTTCAAAAGAACAGAAGACGTCATCTGAAATTTGACATTGTTCAGTTGAGTGGCCATGAAATAAAGACAAGAATTTAATGCCTGATTAAGCAATAAGTATTTAGTCATGAACCGAAGGACATCTTTTACTTACGTTCTCAGTTAACAATGTGCAATAACCGACTTTTTGCTTGATTCCATTATATGATATGAGTTTAGCTTTGTACAGCACAAGGCCATGATTGTAACAGTAATAGTAATATTAGTCGTTATCCTATCACGAAACATGCGATATTTATTGACTGATCAGTGCGCCTTGAGTTAATATTCTTTTTTACTCCCTGACCATCGGGCTGGATGACAGTGTAGTATCTGTTCTCATCTCTAATGATGTTATAATGATGTTAATAGAGGGCGACCCCAAAAAACGGGAATTTTTGAAGTGCGTATTGCCAGACATGAGCAAGTGGCAACTCTGAGAGACAGTGACCTTGAGCAAGTAAACAGATGTTGCAGCAGTCAATGAGGAATCTCAACAGCAGTAAAATATATTGTTTTTAATCTTTTCATCCCATGCAAGACGATAAGGCTACTGAGGCGCAAGGCAAGCTTAAAACAGCAAGAAGACTCTAGTGAGTAGAAAGTATGATAAAAGAACACATAGATAGAAGATGGCGATTTACGTTACATTTAAAATTCTGGAGATTGCAGGGAAGCAAGAAACCGGAATAGGGTTCCACAAGCGAGAATTTCAAGAGAAGTAACTATTAGAATAGAACTTACAGTTGCATCTAGCTAGTTCAATACTAAAGCGATGAGACCTAGTTGTCAATCTAGTAGTACGCTTAAAGTCACGTGGTCGAAATACCAAGCAGGAAAGCTCATTAGAACAACTGCTATAAAAAAAATCTTTATAGAAAAGACAGAGGGAAGCCACGTAACGGTGGTGGGAAAGTGACTGAAACCGAGATGCCAGGTCAGGATTGATAAAGTTACAGACGCTTCTCGAGATATACAGATATATAGCAACAGACCATATATAGAAGTAATATTCAATGCACGGATGGATGGTAGATTTATAAAGGGGTAAGATGGATTATGATGAGAAATGAATTGTCTGACATTTTAGTAAACCGACGTTCCTAGAAGCGGAACTAGCTATTCAATATAATCACTTTATGTCACTGAAAAGCAAAAGACAAAAAAAAAAATGGCGCAATGAGTCTGGAGGTTAACATCAGGCATAATAATTGAAGGCACAAAATGGTTCTCCATGGTGATTAAAAGATAGTAGTTTCGTTTTCGAGGCTTGTAAACTTAAGTTTACAAGCAATTCCTTGACCCAGTTAACAAATGACTGGATGTTATTTTTTAGGACAGCTTCCAATTTTATCGAGTCGGATCTATCGGGCATGTTATTAAAACAAGAGTAAATATTTGCATCATCAGTATAAATACTTAAGAACTGATGCCATCGGGGAATTCACTAATGAATATGGTTTTATGCTAAGTTGGTTGAGCCCTGAAAATAGTAAAACTTAATTGCTCCACCAAGAAAAAAGTTTCCACATTCAGATAAAGGTAGCAGGTAAGATTTATTCTTTTATTACATTTAAGTGCGTGTCACAAACGTATCATGAACTCCAAGATGCCATTTAGAAATTCATACAATGACTGCTTCAACAACGACAGCAGTTCGTCCAACAAAACCCTCATTAGATTATAACCCTACGTTCATGTATGGTTTCGTGGGACTTTTCTTATGACCAAGCCGATCCTAGAGGAGATATGAGTGACGATGATGCAGCTAGCCGCCGCCAACTAGATCTATTTTCTGCCTCACGAAACAGCCTCGGAGTGTCCATCCCGGTCCATTCTTTGATGTGGCCCATCCAGCTTTTAGACTGCCTCCCCCTACGTCTACCTCCTTCTAAGGTACCTTGAAGGACCATCTTGGGTAGAGTGTTGTGACGTATGACATATCCAAGCAACAACAGCTTTCTCCTTTTTACTCTTGCTAAGATTGTCGCCTGTGGACCTGTCAGTTGTGTTAGTTGGCCCTGTACAAAGTCGTTTATCCCGTGTTCTCTCCAGGTGATCTCGAGAAGGCGTCTGGAGGATATAGGGGGACACGACATCGTTAATAATGATCAAAGGCACGCCAGTAATACGACTCGAAACCAACATTGTAGGATTACGAGATGAATGCAGTCTGTCTAAATGTTGGAGTCTATTTCCTTTGCTCAAGTTGAAATGACTCTTTGACATCTGTTTACAACAGGATAAGCATTAGTCATAAGGCCAATATATCTAGCCATAAAAAGCAAAACAAAACAAAAGATCAATTCACTACTATAAATGCAGCTCAGCAAAAAAGCAGTGACCATATAAAGAGGGAATTAAAAATCGAAGGTAAAACCTTGTACAATTAATGAAAAAAGAAAAGAGATCAGAGTCGGAGTGGGGTGATTAGAAAGTAATACGAGGACTAGACTCGGCTTCCCTTGTTCATCCGCCGAATGTTTAACCAGAGCGATGATGGCTGACGGCGTTTCCTGATTAATCTCATGCCGTTGGTATCCTGGAGAGGACACCTCTAAGTTGCAAAGAAAATACCCAGAGAACTGCGAAGGTACACGCCTATTACATTCAACTACAGAAAGTTTAGCGACCCGCTTTGGTCTTGTCAGGTCAGATTAAACTCGCTTTAAATGGCTTTTCGAATGGCCCTGAAAACACAAGAGCGCTGTCTACATTTCAGCGATTCATGTGGCCGGCTTGCTTGTCTCAAGGATGGACTTAAACCGTCCGCTTCGTCCTAGTCGCCTGTTTATCCAGTGTAGGGAATGACTCAGCACCTCGTGTTCACACTCTCAACTAAGCATTGATCATTCGGCATACATTTACCATACAGAAATACAAGGAAAATATATCTAAATACATACATCTTGTAATCGCCATTTAACTAAGACACAAAGAGATAAACATCTCTGTATATATATATATATATATATATATATATATATATATATATATATATATATATACTGGACTCGACGTATTCGAAGTACGAGGGACAAACAGCGCAGTTCCTAGGAAACGACAGCCTAAACAACAGCACATGAGATTTGATTATAGTGGTGGAGGTTTCGTGCAACACCATTCACACTTTTTAAAGGGTCGAATACAGAGACCTGGTGCACTACGTGCCACAAGGTCCCCAAACGACCCTCCGCAGGTTTTGAATTCAGAGTTTTCCTTCTAAAATAGTTGCCATCCAAGGCTATAGAACTCAGTTTGTCCTGCTATTTACTCATAGCTAGAGGGAGAAGAAGAGGATTCATACCTTTCCCAAGGGTATTAGCACGTAACTATTGTAAAGAAAACGGACTCTTAAAATAGCATTGTGATATATACCATGGTGATATATTTTTAAATGTATTTTAAGAGATCGTTTTCTTTATACTCATAATTATTATTGCTCTGTTTTTAACGTAGTTCTCCCTGGATTTATATTCTTTTGAAAATAGCCATACAGATTTCTAAATATTAACATTATATATATATATATATATATATATATATATATATATATATATATATGTGTGTGTGTGTGTGTGTGTGTGTGTGCAAATATATAGAAAAATAGGAAAGAACACGTTAGGTAAATAATCCGAAATTCTTTAGTATTTTTGTTTATATTTTTTAAAAAAAAAGTGCTCAATACATAAGTAGAGCCTAAATTATAATTATTTAAAAAATATGATTCCTTCGTTACATAAGAGTTCTCATGCTTCAAAAACAGGAGCCAAAAACTTCAATATAATTATTAAAATTAAATTGAATTAAAGTATCAGGCTCTGTTTCATCCTCAAGCGAAATTTTTGGAATAACTAATCTTAAAATTTACGCATCTTTATAAGCACATTTATTCGGAAAATTAATTACTATGGAAACGGCTGGAGCAATTATTTCAATAAAGGGCGTAAGGGTTAACAATTTGTATCAACATATCAGGTACTTTTGGAAAGAGGTCAAGTCAAAGTAGGGTCGGGGTGTCTATTTTATAGCGAATGACATATATATATATATATATATATATATATATATATATATATATATATATATATATATATGAGATAAAGTGAGAGAGAAATAGCGAGTTTTCCCGCTTACGATGTCTTGTTTTTCATAAAACATTACTCGAAATACTGGCTTTTGTAGAGGCTAGAATATCCATAACACTACCAGGTAATTTATTATGTAATATTTCATCGCCGATATGGCAGTGAATACTGGATAAAGAAAAGACTCAAGGCAACAAAAATGTGGGCCTACAGAAAGATGATGAGAAACCATGAACAGAACATGAGTGATACGAGAATGTCTAAAATAAAATTGAAGCTCTAAGGAAATTTATACTGTTATTTTTAAGCATTTCGACCCAAGCAAGGGAATAAAGCCACTGAGGCACGAGGGGTTATTGAGTGTGAAAGAATATACGAAAAAATAACGATTGACATTGCATTTATTTTTGAAAATCAACGCTGAATGGAAAGCAATAAGCAGGAAGATAGTTCCACAAGCGAGAAAATAAGCTGTTAGGAAAGAACTTACGGTGACATCTAGCCAATTTAAATGTAAAATGATGAGACTTTACCACCAATCAAATACTTCACTTAAGTTCATAAAATCTAGGTACCATAGAGCAAAGTTCATCAGAACAATTACCATTAAAGTATTTATAGAAAAAGCACATGGAAGATCAATTACAGCGGTTGGCAAGTAACTGAAGCCGAGAGGCCATGACAGGACTAATAACATTGCAGATTCTTCTCTAAATGTTATGAATACTCTCTAAATATATAGCAGGAGCACGAGCTCAGATGTGGCAGAAATATTCGAACAATGGAGAAATGGTAGGTTTATAAATATGGAATATCGATTCTGAAGGGAAAAATTGTCTAGTACAACACAGTGAAGTATCTTTTCGAGCAGCAGACCTATCATTTATTTAATATAGTCTTTCTTCTTCGTGTCAGCTGGGAACGTTAGCCAGTGAAGTTGCAACGGCTCGATTTCCTGGTGGTTACCATCAGCCATGTTGATGGAAGGCACAGAGGGGGTCTCTCAAATGATTTTCTTTTTCATCTTGTAGACTTATTTAAAAGTTGAAGAGAACTGTGGAAGTTATAATTACCGACACTTTTGGGGATATGACAAAAGCACTTCGTCGACTGTGTATCCTAGAATTAGAGTTGCCACTTTTGTGATGCCAACGAATACTCGTTGTCACTTTCGTAATGCTCGTTGTAGTAGAGACTTTGTAATCGCAGATACAACTATAGTAACACCGTTAAAAAATACTGGTATCAGACGCCTTCAAATATCACTCGCATTAATAGTACTTGCTTGATAATACACGCTCGAACAGTAATCCGTATATCGTAATCCGAATAGAGAAATAGTATATTGAATAACGGTCCGTACAGTAATAGAGGTTAGATTAGAAATGACGATCTTTAGTCGTCAGCTATTTCCTTCATATATGCGTTTCCTCTATGGTCACGTGGTCTACTTAATTCAATAATGAGATCGCCTGTGTTTGTTCACTAGCGATCTATGTTCAAATTCAGGTGTCGGCAACGGCACTTTTTTCCTATATAAGACTATACTTTGCTTTATTCGGCTTCACAGTGAACCAACTTTCTTAGCAGCTGGCCTAGCAATAGATTCAATATAGTCTTTCCACTTCATGGCAGATGAGAACGTTAGAAAAGAGTCGCAAGGACACACCTTCCTGGAGGTTGATGGCACGAACAGAGGGTTTCCCAAATGATTTTCTTTTTCATCCTGTAGACTTATTTAAAAATTGAAGAGAACTTTGGTAGTGATAATTACCGACACTTTCAGAGGATATCACAAAAGCGCTTCGTCAACTGTGTATCCTAGAATTCGAGTTATTTACTATACTTTGCTCTGTTCGGCTCCATGCTAAAATCCGAGAAATGGCGAGTGAAAAGAAAGATAACGTTACATTGAAAGCGCATGGAAACTTGACTTGAAAGCCACTTTTGAAGACGCCATCATTTATCAAGGGTTATTAGATCAAGACGCAAGTAACGACTTGGGCTATATATGAATACAACATTTGATATCCATTTGTTGCTTAGCGAAATGATGATGATCTACACTATATAGTCTTTCCACTTTATGCCAGCAAAGAACGTTAGCCCGAGAAGGCGGAACGTGTCATTTTCCTGGAGATTAACATCACAGAACAAAAAAACACACGTTAGGAAATAATGTCTGGATAATTTAACACTAAGAGGACATAGTGAAAGCAAGAGAAGCAGCGGTAAACAGCGCGGAAATTAAATAGTTTATGTGAACGGCTTCCAAATCAAGGAAAGCGGGTCAAATGTTCATTACAGTTTTAAAAGACAGTAAGTTGTAGAGAGCCATGACCACTCACAACCTTAAAGTACAGGACATATACAAGAAGATTTGTATAGCAAAAGTCCAAATAAGTGAAACGGGTGGGGATGATTATGTAGCTCCAGTCCTCTATGAAAAATAATAAACCATTTTCCTGGATATCGACTAATGGAATAATTTTAAAGGACATATATCTCTATCTCTCTATATATCCATCCCTCTGTCTTCTATCTATCTATCTATCTATCTATCTATCTATCTATCCCTGTCTGCTCGTTTCTGAACTGACTATATCTATCTATCTATGTATTCTGTTTTATCTATCTAGTCTGTACATATCTATCCATCCCTCTGTCTTCTATCTATCTATCTATCTATCTATCTATCTATCTAATCTATCTATCTATCTATCTAATTCTGTTCATGTTCATCCATATCCATCCATCTATCTATCTATCTGTCTATCTATCTATCTATCTATCTATCATCTATCTAATTCTGTTCATATCTATCTCTATCTATCCATCTATCTATCTATCTATCTATCTATCTATCTATCTATCTATCTATCTATTCTATCTCTATTCTATCTATCTATCTATCTATCTATCTATCTATCTCTATCTATCTATCTATCTATCTATCTATCCATTCTGTTCATATCTATCTATCTATCTATCTATCTATCTATCTATCTATCTAATTCTGTTCATATCTATCTATCTATCTATCTATCTATCTATCTATCTATCCATCCATCTATCTATCTATCTATCTATCCATCTGTCTATCCATCCATCTATCTATCTATCTATCTATCTATCCATCTATCTATCTATCTATCTATCTATCTATCTATCTATCTATCTATCTATCTATCTATCATTCTGTTCATATCTATCTATCTGGCTAATTCCTGTTCATATTCATCTATCTATCTATCTATCTATCTATTCATCTATCTGGCTCTTCTGTTCCATTCATTATCTTCTATCTCTTTTCATGCAATTCATTTTTCTTTCTCTTCCTCTCCAATAATTTATCGCTTTATCTATCAAAAAATAACAATATTTAAGCGTGTTCACATCTTTTCTTTCTCTTCCTCTCCAATAATTTATCGCTCTCAGTTTGTTTGTAAGATACACGCCATCTAAACAATGTCTCATCACCCAATATATTCATTATATTTATGATTTTCCTCCCGGTTTTAATACCGGATGTATCTTATCCCTTAAAGGTTTCATCGGTAATTCCTAAATTATCCCCAGTTTTTCTCAAGGCTAAATGGAAACAAATGTTAAATAGGAAGATTGTGTAGTGCCAAATGTATTGGACCTTGTTGTTTTGAACATCAGTAATTAAAAACCTTTCTTTTTACTTTTACAGACTATGTGACAAATGCTTCTTCAGCCATTATCCTTTCCTTATTATTTACTCATTGCATCTCCAATATTAGTAATTAGATAAAAAAAAGATTAAATCCTCACAATGGTCATACTACGATCACTCTCTCTCGTAGGCTAACATGTCATTTATCGAGACTTGGCGCAATTCGTGCACATATCGATCACCAATAACTAAAATACGACTATAAATGAAATAATAGGTAGAAAATTCAACAATACTGTAAAATACTCAGTGTTAACAAAGACTCATAAATTTCAAAACTTTATGCAAATGAAACATTCGATATTAAATCTAATATATTTCACTACAATAACTGACAATTTAAAATGTGCATAATATATTTAATATCTTCGTTCTTTAGGCATTGTAAAGTGTGTGACTCTTAACGGAATATTTCTTTAAAAAAGATCTATATATGGCATCAATTTAAGAACATTTAAATTTGAAAACAGAGCATTTACATTCTATCTATCTATCTATCTATCTATCTATCTATCTATCTATCTATCTATCTATCTCGGCCTGTTCATTATCTATCTATCTATCTATCTATCTATCTATCTATCTATCTATCTATCTATCTATCTATCTCGGCCTGTTCATTATCTATCTATCTTGTATCCAAGGACACTTGACACGCACTTAAAAACAACAAGAGAAAACAATTTCTCTATTTTTCTGATAAGCATAAGAAGTCCTTTCTTTATGCAACAGTTAATGTTAATCATCGAAGAATACAATTTTTACCTGAATAATTTCTTCGTGCTGATAAGGATTAGTATCTTCTCTGCTCAGGCGATCAGATTCACCTTTACCGACACGTAATTATGAGAAAAATTGAAATGTTCCATGTGAATATTACATCATAAATACTCTCCACTCCCATGGATGGAGGAGAGGTATCAATGTCGGCCTTTTCGAATGCTTTATTACTGCAGGCGACCGGTTTTGTAGTGCTATGCACTCATATGACCTTGATACACCTTGCGCAACCTGCCGAGCTTTGAAAAGGTGCCAATTTGCTCGCCATGAGTTCGTAAGTTCATAAGGACCCTAGAGATTCCCTTTACAGTTGAATTATCTCATTCCAGGCAAATTTGATTTTCGAATATCGAGTTTTGGAATTTGAAGAACCGGTTTAGCTTCAAAATAAGATTGCTGTTTCCCTACCTATTTATATTTGCAAACGCTTCATCTACAATACTGAACACAATTCCTCTAAAGGTATTGCAGACATATATATACGCGAGTCTCATTCAGATAATTCTAAGCCTCGCCCAGAAGGAGTTGGAGAAACAAAACGGTTTTTCACTGCTTTTCAATATAGTCCCCCCTTGACATCAATGAACTTGGTCCAACGATGCTTAAGCACTGCAATCCCATAACGGAAGGAGATGGGTTCCTGGCCCTCCAGAAACCCCTCTACATCATTATTTCCAAAATGGCGACCACGTAAGTGGGAATTGATTTTCGGAAACGGGAAAACGTCAGATGGAACTAAGTCTGGTGAGTAAGTAGGGTAGATTAGCAATTCAAAGTCATAGTTGAATGCTTCTGCTATTGCAACCTGAGCAATATGAACATGCGTGTTATCCTAGAGCAAGGTCACACCTACCCTAAGCTTCCCTCTGCATTTCGACTTTCCTTCAGTCGTCTTAATTCTGATGCACAGTATTGTTCATTAATCGTTTTACCTCTTTTCAGGTAGTTATCATGATTACTGCTCCAGGATATCAAAAAACAGAAAACAACAACTTGCCAACAGACGCTGCCTGCTTGAATTTCTTCTGGGGTGGAGAATCAGGGTGTTTCCACCGTTTGCTTTAAATCTTTGATCTAGGTTTAAAGTGGTGAACCCAAGTTTTATCTTGAGCTACTAATCTGCGGTAGAAATTCTCATGGTCAATCTGGAAGCGAATTAGAAGTGTCCTGGTAATGTCAAGCCTTTTCAGCTTCTGCTCTGGTGTCAGCATTTTTTGGAGCCATCTTGCAGACAGCTTGCTCATTCCTAATATCTCAGTTAAAACAGTATGGACTGAACCAGAGCTAATGCCTATCGACTTGTGCTGGAGAGTAAAAGGGCTGTCATCCAAAACCATACGATGAATGACATCAAGTGGTTGAGAGTTTTGGACGACCTGACCTAGGGTCAGCTTCTGGGCTGTCCCTGTCCCGCTTAAATTCCGCAGCTCACTTCTTCACAGTTGTATAGGAAGGGGAGTCCTCAGCAAGTGTCTGTGCCATGTCCTCATGGATTTCCTTGGGTATCATGCCATTTTTTTGCAGATAATTTATGACTGATCGGGCCTCTATCCATTTTTAGATTTGTCGCAAACCTCTCATCTTTGTATGGGCCTCACCTGCACAAAAAATAAGACAGAAATCTGAATTAATTCTTCTTTTGTTATAAAAAGTGGTAGTGTGTAGCCACAACAAAATTTTTCAGCTACGTCTCTTCTTCCTGGGTGGAGATTAGAACTATTTGAACGACCTTCGTGTATATATACGGGTAAATTGTCGACATATTATATTTTTAATTTCCCGCATGCGCGTTTTTTGTTTTGGATTTTGTCGATTGTACAGTATAGTAAGGTCAGTTGGACACCGTCTATGAGAAAAAGAGCACCATGACGCAATTCAATCCGCCAGAAATTTGGAAACAGCATAATGTATTCCTTAGTATTCGCGCCTGTAGCTCCAATTCGAACATTTCAGAGTGTTTGGATGTCAATCTGAGGGCATTGCAGAGAATTCGGAAAGATTTGGATGATATATCCAGTCAACATCATAGTGTTTGGAGTGATGGCCACGTTATGCCTCCATTTATATTCCCACAGGACCTCAGACACAACATAGACTACCCGCAATCAGTGCAAGGGAGATCTGGATAAAGCGAAGTACAGCTATGCATAGTCAGTTCAAGCTAAGTTGAAAACTGATGCAATGTCGTTTTTCTTCAAAATAACTGAGAATTAGGAAGGCCGTAGGTACAGACATTATCGAAAGAACAGAAGACTAGGTAGGGAAATCAAAGAAGAAGAGGTTCATTAAATAATTATATACAGAACAGAGAAACTTGAGTAAATTAACTTCACCTCAAATTCTACTCTAATGTGGCTACTCGCCATATTTATATGTAGGAGAATTAGTACGGAAACAGAAGGAAGTACTCTGAGTCCTACACTGCAATAAAAACAAAAGATTTGGTTCTCGTGAATTCAGGAAAATCTCAAAGAAAATACTTAAAAAAAAGGCAATCTGTCAGTGCCTACTAGTATAAATTGTAGCGGAATATGCGTTTATAAACGAAGAATTATAAATCTTCAAACACGGATCTACAAATTTAAATAATTTTTATTTATCTGAGCATTATTTTATATTGAAAGAAATGAATTACAAAGACACTTTGCAAACAACTTCACGCAAAATGTTTAGTGTATCTTTTTTGCAGTACAACTGAATGAATTGCGTCAGTATAGGATAAACGGAAAACGCGTCTATATGGGCAGATGTATTGTTTTCCCTGTGTGTATAAATTCCAGCAGTAAACCACATGAAATAAAAACAGGAAGTTATGTTGCGACTGTTGCAGCATGTAAACAAGTTAGCGGAATGTCTTTTCTATCGCTAAACATAATTTTGTAATGCTGTATACTCGAATAAATATGCGAAAGATATGAATACCGTATTTGACGGCATATAAGACGCACCGGTGTATAAGACGCACCCCAATTTCAGCAGGGCAAACCAAGAAAATAAAGTAATTAGTAAAATTATTAGTAAAAGGTACAGCCTGGGCTATATTTATGAGGTATTATTTTGGTTAAAGAAGCCATGATTACAATTAAACGAAAAATAATAGTAAGAAAAGAATACGAGCCTATAAAAAACTTTACTATATCCAAAGGTAAGAAAACAAAATAAAAATCAAGCAATTATTACAATTGAGCAAAACAGTAGAGTTACCATTAAAATTTTATTCATCTTCAAATCCATAAAATTCGTCGTCTTCGTTATAAAAACTCTGAAAGTCATTTTCAATACTACTGTGGCGGACTTCACCACATTAATTTAATTTTTGATTATGAAACAAGGCTCACGCAAGAAGGATAATCAAAAGACATTGTTACACATAAAACATTTAAACAAGATGTGCAATATCAAACAACGATGTGAGAGTAGACATGCATTTAAGTAAGAAAGGTTGAATTAACGAAGAGTTGCCTCTCTTTAACTGTTATTTTAGAGTTCAGATAGTTATTTGGTTTAAAGTTCACTGGAAAAAATGTTCTTGACAGTTTCTTGTAATGATTGTTCTTGAAAGATATTGTTGCGTAAGAAGATTTTTTTGTGAGTGTGTACAAGTTATGTTCAGTATGTGTGTGTGTGTGTGTGAGTGGGAAGGTTGGCGCATGGTTTCAACTGTCGTGGATTCGTTTGGTAGTTGAATTCTCTCTAATTGAGATTAGAAAAATCTTGGCTTAAATAAGTGACTATAGGCTCCAAATCGTTGCGCGGGAAAAATTATTCTTCACGTGCAAACGATCTGATTGGTTGGCATTGACCAATCAGCGAGCGAACTTTGGGGGGACTTACGAAAGCTTCTGTGACCCGCTTCTCCCAAAAGTGCACAAAATTGACTACTTAAAAATAGATCGATTACAAAATTTTCGTATTACTGCGATTTGTAAATTGCCTGAAGAAACGTAGCGTTGAGTATTGCTGCCACATCTGATTTGGTGTTCCTGGTGTATATTTAGAGATTCTTGATAAGAAGAATCTGCAATATTATTGGTCCTGACATTTTGCCTGGGTTTCAGTCACTTTCCCACCGCCATAATGTAACTTCCCTCTGCCTTTTTTTTTCATGGTAATTATTCGGATGAACTCTTTGCTATGGTACCTAGAATATATTTTAATATATGGTCAGTAGACTATATTTAAGTTGAGCGCAGAACTAGATTGGTGGCAAGGTCTCATCAATTCACAGTTGAATTGGTTAAAAGTAACCGTAAGTTCTATCCTAACATTTTTTCTCGCACTTCCCATTTGTGGAACACTCTTTTGGCTCCATGATTTCCAGCCAAATTTGATCTTCCAAAATTTAAATGCAATGTCAATCGCTATCTACTGTCTTGATTAGCCTTCTATTCATCTCGCTTCCTAATATTTCTTTTTTTTTTCTTGATATTCCACACTCAGTCACCCCTTAGTCATAGTGGCTTTACTGCTTTGCATGGGGTGATATGTTTTAAAAAAATCTTAACATTTCTTTAGAAGTATTGTTAAATGAATTGTTATTTTTTTAAAATTATTGTTCACCCAATACATGGTCCATGAGCCACTCAAGGTAGAGGGTTACTGCATGGTGTTGTATGCGTGTAAAAAAAGGCAAGAAGTCGGAAGCCGACATGGCAAACCCCATCAAACGCCTTGAGGTTTCTCTTATGCATTCCTTGTGGCAATTATTACAGGTGATAGAGTAACTTCCTCCTTCAAGTGTTAGCTTATTATTTTGTTTTATATTAATTATACAGCTTATAATTTTAGAAAGCATGGATCATAACATTCATCAAGTGATTAATTGGTTAATGCATCTTTAAAATTTTGTTAGCGAAGGGATTTCGCCATTTTA